TTACATGGGAACATATTTTAAGGAGCACCGGGTATACAAGATGGCTACCGGAATAAATGGCTGTTGAACGGAGCATCCTCTTCTTATTATGTTACAGAAAACAAGGATAAGTTGGACCGGGTCAATTGTCAGCTCGGTGCTCAACTTATCCTTGTTTGCCAGTAATAGTTTAAATGATAATTTCTTACATATAATAAAAAACAGACTGGGGTCCTTAGACTGTACTGTCCGCTTATCTGGACTTGCCTCTTCGAAGGATGGATTATATATAATTACCGTCGATCCATCTGCTCAGCATTCAGTATAGCCTTGGAGCAAGGCAAGCCAGATTCCAACGGTCTCAATCAGTCAAAATGTTCTGTATCGCCTGAGGCTATATATGGCTACTCCATTATATGGCTATTTGGGGAATTAGCGCATACTTGTAACCGAATCATTGTAAAATGAAGCAACGTCTTAAAACGGCAATGCACCATCTTGAAATGTTTTCTAGAGTTTGTTTTTCAAGAACACGTTCAGTATTGACTGCTACTTTACAGAAACTTCACTTTGCCAAGTGGATGTTTCCGAGGGAACTTAACACTCGTATTAAGCAGGAGTGGCAAGACGAAGCTAACACAACAACATGTTTATCTTCGACACTGTGTTCATTAAATACACTTTCTGAACGGTAAATACCAACGGTTAATAGCTGCCATCATTATTTCTATCTACTGCCGCCCTTTTAACAGTAAATATCCGTTTTCAACATCACTATATCTATATCAGCATCATTAATTATCAACACCGTCACAATCCCTCCAATCATCATCGATCCGTGAAGCTGACTGACTGAGTTTAGTTTTACGCCGCTTTTAGCAATATTTCAGCAATATCACGGCGGGGGACACCAGAAATGGGCTTAACACATTGTGCCCATGTGGGGAATCGAACCCGGGCTTTCGGCGTGACGAGCCAACGCTTTAACCACTAGGCTACCCCACCGCCCCTCGACCCGTGAAGGTCCGGGTTAGAATGAACCTTAAGTAACCCATGCTTGTCGTGGGAGGCGACTAACGGGATCGGGTAGTCATTCTCGCTGGCTTGGTTGAATATTGCTGAGTGCGGCGTAAAACTAACCTCACTCACTCCAATCATCATGTTTTCAGCAGCATCAGCAACCTCAGTGGCTAATGCGGCATAACGCAATATTCATCCATTCACCGTGCTACCTGAGATGGTTTCTTGATGGTTGCTATATGTGCTTAAAATCAATGGTTTGTCTGATGCAAACTTCATTATGTACAGGTAGCCAACATGATAGTATTTCTGCAAAAATATTGAGGAGTAAACAAATATTCAGCTGTCCTGTTCCCGCCAAAATCGCAAATACGTTGTTCAAGAAGTACACCCTATCACAGAAGCAAATAGGTCTCAACTTCAGTACATGTGTACTTGTAAACTTGGTCTATTCCAAACGATAGGATACAAAATCACAACGAGTTACCTCCCCTCCAGGAAATAGCCAAAAGGACGATCCTTTATAACCGGTTTGTACCTAAAATCAAAAGGTTTTGTCTCAGTCAACGAATGAAATCCAACCAAAACACAGATATCAGACAATGTTTACACCTTCTGACGTTATATCTAGCTTAATTGCCCGTTCGTCCGAACGTATGTAAAAACGTAGGCCTACTGCCGGATACGATTGTATTGAAATGGAAAAGGACGTGTGACAGATCCCTTTTGCTGTCAGTGAAATACATGTGCAAAACAAGAAAACGTAAACTGCCCGGATTTATGTAAAGATTCTGATGTTCGGTTTTGTATAGTAGTCACCATTTCGACATCAACCACCAGTCCTCGGCTTACCAGTATCCCAGAAGCTTAAATGCTAAATGTGTCCACGTCACTGCCATATGTAGCGAGGTGGGGTATCCCAATTGCCAAAGCGTCCATTCGTCACGCTGAAGACACGCATTCGATTCCCTGCATGGCCATACAGGGCGGTGGGGTAGCCTAGTGGCTAAAGCGTCCACTCGTCACCCTGAGGACCCGGGTTCGATTCCTCACATGGGTATAATGTGTGAAGCCCATTTCTGGTGTCCCCTGGAATATCTCTAAAAGCGGCGTAAAACCATACTCACTCACTGCCTTAATTCACATAATATGAAAGCAATCTAACAGAAGTTGAAAACTTAACGATTTTTTAATATAATTTGATTTGAAACTTATAGATCTAATTTTTTTTAATTACAATATCTTACTTCGTAATTACTTAAACCAAAGTACATCTTTATGTTCCAACTCGACCCTCGTGATATGACAGATTACAGTCCAATCGTGTAAAATCACTTCACCAATCTGACCGATATGTCCATAACGGAATAAACCGAGAAGATCGGAGTGCCACCAGCAGTTGTCAACAGGAAGACGTGAAGTGCCGCCACCTGTTCTGTCCCGACGTACAGCCAGCGCCCGACCTACTACCGGCCTTACCCCAAGCTCAATATGATTTATAGAAAAATCCAATCCTGCAACGCGTGTTTCGTTTGACACTGCGCATTTCAGATAATATGGCGATACCAAGTTATCTCCCCTGATAACCTCGCGGCACAGAAAGATAGGGAAACACATAAAAAATTAATTATCTCTTCTCATTGCAAATGACGGAGAAAATGTGTTCTGATATTATCTGCACGATGATGCCTGGATCTCACCTTGCAGAGAGTTAGAAACCTGACACTGCTGTGGTCGTGACGGGTGCGACTCGACGATTCATGTGAATACATTTCTTTTTAGAATGCACAGAGTGCTTTTTAATTAAACGTACATGCAAGTGATTTACGAGAAGGGGCCGTCCAGGTAGGTTTTTAGTCATCTCATCTCGAGTGAGTATGAGTGAGTATGGTTTTGCGCCTGTTTTAGCAATATTCAAGTAATATCAAGACGGGGGACACCAGAGATGAGCTTCATATAGTGTACCCATGTGGGGAATCGGACCCGGGTCTTCGGCGTGACAAGCGAAAAAATGAAGATGATGATGACGATGGGATAGTCTACTTGTTCAACCTCATAACCTCAGTGTATGTTTGAAGATGTAAATGGATCCAACAGTGTACACTCGACTTTCATTATCAGCTCCCTGTGGAGTATGCATCGCTATCTTATCCTACCGGGAACTCATTAACTGGTGGGTGAACAGAGGTATATTTAGAAAAAGTCTACCCGTGAAGATCCGGGCTAGAATTGACATATGTCATCGTATCCCAATTGCATAGATTGATGTTCATGCTATTGATCACTGACATTGTCTGGTCCAGATCCGATTATTTACAGACAGCGACCATATAGCTGGACTATTGCTGAGTGCGGCGTAAAACTAAACTCACTCACTCACTCGGACAAGTCACTCGCACATGGAGACTTGTGCTTCTGTATTGGCCATTCGTCCAAGTAACCTCTCATAGCAACGTTGCTCATAATCTGTGACCTCACGTGCTGCCTCCTCACCACTGGACGCATCTCGCAAACCAAACCATTGTTTGATGTAAACATTGTAGGGCCATGAATTAAATCCTACGCCCTGCAATTATTTTTTGGTAGTCGGTGGAAATACCAGCAAGTGAATACGAAAAGTTGTAATTGTGTGGCTATGAATGTCCGTGTGTGTAAATGCTCACTCTGCGTCCAAGTTGAAACTTCTGGGAGAGTAAACAAGCTTTGTAATATTTTGTTAGGATTAATTTTATTTTATTGACAACAACAAGAATAAGTTTACAAGAATATCAGCACCACATAAAATGTTCATAAATGCAATAGACCAGAATGCTGCTGTTCCGGTGTCATGTTGTCGCTCCTGTTGCGGTTAATTTCACACATCACTCAACATTCATACGCTCACCATCGTTAAACTGAGAAAATATATTCAATAAATATAATATCTATACATCACAGACACCATCGTCATCGTAACGGCGCCATTTTAATGTCCTACGAATACTCAAGCTTAAAAAGAAACGCATATGTGGTTTTCAAGAGATTCATTTTGTGAATTCTGCAAAATGTCTGAAGGGGTACGCTGTGTTTGATCGGTTGCAAAAACAACGCGTTCTATCATTTAGATTTGAGTGACTGGAGGTTACCCCATTTGTGAGATGAAATAACGTCTTGATTACAGCAACCCGAGAACGTTACGCACAGTCTTTGCAGGCATTAGACGTAGACGTTTGCCCAAGGATTTGAAATTGCGAGTGGCGCTTGTCATTTACCAGCTTGAAGTCAAACATTAGCGTTCTTTCTCGCATTAAAACTGAGCCTTGTCATGACCAGTTTTCAAAATAGTTTCGTTAGCATAGTTGCGAAAACAATTGCCCAAATGCATGATTTACAGGTGAAAACTGCTTTTATTTCAGTTTCCTAAGATTACGTGCAAATGTTAAAGTTCGTCGATATTAACCTCTATCAACTTCAATGAGACCATTTTGTGGCTCTGATCACTTGGAACGAACTCTAAAAGAATGTTTCTGTTGCTGTGCAGCAGGGCTATTATCTATCCACGAAATGTACTTTTGAAAATAGTGGCACCACCTATGCGTTTCTTATTGTGGAGAGTATATTTCGATGTATGACCGTCATCACAGTTGACAGTGTTGTATGGCACTTCCATGAAATGACATTTATAACGTTAACGCAGCAGCATTTGCAGATGTGTAAGAACGAAAATTGCATTTGAAATCCAAAGTAATCTTCCTGTACGACAATCTGGCGAGAGTCATTCACATTGTCCTGAATTCGTCACAGCTCTTCTTTTATACAGCAGATTTCATATACACGTATATACAGATGCCTCCCTTTGTCTTGTGTGCTGTATAGATAAGTTGGTGTATGGAGCTTGGGAGAGTGCACGTTATGTTTGGCGTGCGATGACGTCATATAAATCTATGATACATATATATCTCTGCACTTGTTTCCTGTCACGTGACAATTCAGGGTGAAGGTCACGTCGGTTACGTGTCGCTGAATGCGTATAAGGTCCAGGGTGGAGGGAGAGGTAGAGATTGTTTCCATGGTTACAGATTACCATGACAACACAGTATGACTATTTCCCAGCTTTTTCTTGACCTTTTCCTAAGTCTTTGTCCTTGTTTCTCCCTTTCTTGTGTCGTAAGTGTCGAACATGTCGATCCGTCTGTCGCTCTATCGGAACATCGAATGGAGATCCAAGGCCATCATTTTGAATCGACGGACAGTGACCTGACTGCACATGTAATGTACCATGTGTGCAAACTGGTTTTAGACACGTTTTCGCCTTAATACACCTGAAAATAAATTTTGCCATTAGTTTTTGTGTAAGAACACAAGACATTTTTTTAATAAGGTATAGTATTTCTCTAAATAATAATAATCTATTTATATAGCGCCGAGTTACAGCTAGGCTGCTCACAGGCGCTTCACATAGTCTTGTAATGTCAGTTCCTTGTTCCAGAACACACCATTCTGAGGAAAATAGGTACGTTTCAAGGAGGCGGCGGAAAGCCTGTACAGAAGGTGCAGACTTTATATAAGAGAAACTTTGTTCGTGAGAGTGGGGACTGCACCCATAAAGATCGATCGCCCAATCTAGTCCTGGATATAATAATAATAATAAATTATAATGTATTTATAAAGCGCGTAATATCCACCATAGAGATGCTCAGTGGCGCTTTGGCAATATTGGGGAAGGAAATAGTTCACATAACTATACAGAAAGGCAGCAGTGCATAGATGGGTCTTTAGCAGAGACTTAAAAGTTTCTTTTGGATCTGCTGTTATCAAGGAGATCTTTCTTGTATCCGTATGAAACAATCATTTTTTACTTTTAACTGAAAAGATACATACATGGTATACGTGAGATATACTTTTAGTAGACTTTGTTAAGCAACATTTATTCTTGATAATTTAGATATCAATATTTACCTAACTGACTCATTTAACGTTTCGATTCTGACACCAATGGCTCCCGGTGACTAATATTTACTCAAATACATTGTACCACTATAAAAAGAATTGATGTCTTTTAATGTCTTAAGATGCTTACGCTAAGTCTCTTTCTTGTAGCGGTATGAAACCATCTTTGACACTCTGACATACGTAGTTGTTTTCATCAGCTGACTGTTCACAGTCACATGCGCACTGAACCCCTTTGCGCATCATCATGAAAGGAAATGGACACTTGTATCTGTCACAACTGAAATATGAATATGAAATATATATATTATGTAATGAGTGAGTGAGTGAGTTTGGTTTTCGGCGCTTGTAGCAATATTCCAGCAATATCACGGCGGGGGACACCAGAAATTGGCTTCAGACATTGTAGCCACGTGGGAAATCGAACCTGGGGCTTCTGCGTGACGAGCGAACGCTTTACCCACTAGGCTACTCCACCGCCCCTATATTAGGTAGACATGTTCTATTGATGGTCTCATTCAAAGATACTGAAACAATGTTAAAGATTAATTTTATTTTTGTAATATTTGGTTTACAAATTATTATGTTCTGTTCATTTAGACATGAATAAAGATCCATAACAATGCCGTTATTCGGGTTCGAAACTCCTTTGATATGTCTCAAGATAGACTTGAGCACAGAGTGAGTGAGTGAGTGAGTGAGTTGGGGTTTACGCCGCTTTTAGCAATATCCAAGCGATATCACGATGGGGGACACCAGAAATGGGCTTCACACATTGTACCCATGTGGGGAATCGAACCCGAGTTTTCGGCGTGACGAGCGAACGCTTTAACCTCTAGGCTACCCTAGCGCCCCACTTGAACATAGAAAACATGATTATGCGTTTTTCTTGTATGTCAGTATCTACAGCATTTTTCCATTTTTGGTGGGGCGGTGGGGTAGTCTAGTGGTTAAAGATTTCGTTCGTCACGCCGAAGACTCAGGTTCGATTCCCCATTTCTGGTTTTCCCCGAAGTGATATTGCTGGAATATTGCTAAAAGAGGCGTAAAACTAAACTCACTCACCCAGTAGGCATGTCCTATTAATGCGACGGTGACATGTAGATGATTTAACCTGCCTGACAATCAAGTGCTTGATGTTATGAACACCGACCAACGCAGTTAGGGTAGGGTGACATACAATGAACCAATTCACCGAGCCTAACCACCGTTCTGTCACTACATCGAGTAGACTGATACGTACTTGGGAAGACCTTGTTTTTTCCTTACAGGCGCATTCTGTATGGTTGATAAATCTCTTCTTCTCGACCATATCTTTGTCTGGAAGGGTATTGTCTCCAATTAGCTGCACGACCTGTCGTTAAGAAAAATCATAACATGCCATTAATTCAGTTAGAGTGAGTATAATTTGATCATACAAACTTGAACTATTTCTTTAAAGTTTCAACTGGATATTTTGATAATTTCTCTTGCAATTCACGGGTACACTTGTCAAACTGAATCTATATTAATACCGCAACATAGAAACACAATTCAATCAAAATGGTATTCATTTGACTTCGCCTAAAATACCATCAGCTACAGATGTTATTCTGTTGGTTAAGCCGGTATTTCTAGACCCATCGGTATAGTTAAGGGCCAACTTTAAACAGCGGTCGTAAATCATGAATAGTAAACAACCCTTCACTGTACGTAGAGAACAGTACCAGCTGGTCTTTGCATCGAGAGATGCGAATTGGAAAGTCCAAACAGGTCTTAGACTTTACCAATCTGGTGAAAGCTCTAGAAGTATAACTAGCTCGATTCTGGGATTTCAACCAACGACCAGAGGTTTCTGTCAGCAATATTCCATCTATATGACGGCGGTCTGTAAATAATCGATTCTGGACCAGACAATCCAGTGATCAACAGCATGAGCATTGATCTACGCAATGGGGAAACGATGACATGTGTCAACCAAGTCAGCGAGTCTGACCACAAGATCCCGTTAATCGTCTCTTACGACAAGCATGGGTTACTGAAGATAAATTCTAACCCCGGGTCGTTTCTGGTACGCAAAATAGACAAATTCGCCACCCGGTGTTCCATGGAGAGGAACAGGATAGTTATACAGAAGGTGTTCTGACTTACGATGAAGGATTTTTCGATGACTTCTATGGTGATAGGCCCACATTCCCTGTTCGTCGCGCCACAACACCCGGATACGTTCTTGCAGCGGTGTACCACTGTGCATTGTGGGAAGTAGACACGGTGTCGGTTTTCTTCGTCTATGACGTTGACAATCTCTGGCTGCGGCGTCTTACACTCACCAAGAGGACTGTTGGCCATTTCTTCAATATGATACATCGCGTCCGAAAGTTCTGGAATGACAAAATATAATCTATACTAACTCCGAGGTGACAAGCTCTTATTTTATTCTTTAATTGAAAAGCAAGCAACGAGAATCAGCTTTTTAACTCGACCAGGGGTTCGAACAACCGATTTCCACTCTCCGAGCAAACACCCTAACCATTAGGCCACGGAGGTGGTGCCTACATACTTATACACCTGGTTTCTTGGATTGGTTAGATGGTTTGTTTAACAATAATCCAAGCTATGTGGAACTATGAAATTTGGATGATGACATGTGAAAGTCACCGAGCCTGACCACCCGATCCCGTTAGTTGCCTCTTACGACAAGCATGGGTTTCTTGGGAAAAGTGGGAGATAAGATCAATGGATGTCAGGACATGTGCGACGATGGAGTACGTACTTTTTAGCTGCCACTAAACCAGGATTTGCAGATTGGCATACAGTAATACTCAGTATAACGGACACTCGACAATCAACACAAAATATGAGTGAGTTTAGTTTGACACCGCACTCAGCAATATTCCAGCTATTTGTAAATAATCAAGTCTGGACCAGACAATCCAGTGATCAGCATCACGAGCATCGTTCGACGCAAAGAATAAATATGAGCAGGTAACACAAAAAGGACCCCATTTAAAGAATATTTCCTTCAAAGTTCCAATTCATCATGCTCCTCCCAAGACGAGAAAACATCCCCTCCAACAACAACGTTCTATGCCATCCTATCTGACTCTAGTTAGTGTTTACCTTCATCCAGGCGATCCTGCTCTTCATCCATGTGCATGTCCTCTTCATCCACAACCCAGTCCTCATCGTCATAGTCCTCGCTGTAATCTCTACTCTTCTTCTCCGCTCCTAGGAATTTCTGTATAGTCCTGGCGTTCACTATTTCGTCTATCAATTCATTCGATAAATCTTTCTTATTCAGGAATATTCGTAAAAAAGTCATAGTAATTTTTTGTATGCTGTAATTGTCTTTTTAATTCACTTAAAGGCACAGGTTGTAGGTGGACTCCCTGGAAATAAACATAAACTTGGTCAGACTTGCTTGTGAGTTGAGTATTATCATAGGATCACCACACACCACGGTTAAAGATCAAGTGTGAGTGAGAGTGTGGGTATGTGTGAGTGAGTGTGTGTGAGAGAGTTGTGTGAGAGTGTGTGTGTGTATGTGTAAGTGTGTAAGAGTGAGTTAGTGTGTGTGTGTGTGTGTGTGTGTGAGTGAGTGAGTGAGTGAATATGTGTGTGGGTGTATATTTGTTAGGTTAGTGAGTGAAAGTAATTCCATTACCTCACAGTGGGGACAACCGCTATGAATACCGAAAACTTTACGCTTTCGTTGGCAATAACCTTTCACGCTAACATAATCACTATTCAAAGTAGCCTAATGTATTTAAGTTAGGCTTATGTTATTTGGCTTTTGTTTACAGAAAGTAATGGGTATTCGTGGTCGAGTGAAAGCAGTTAAAGTTCAAGGAAACACCTGAAGGCAGACAAACTACAACATGACATCAGTGACAGTGATATACATTCAGCCGGCCAGTTCGTAAATACACGCATTTCGGCAGCATGAATATCATCTTGTTACTACCCAACGTTTCACTTGAAAAGGAAGAAGATAAAAAAAGTCCCTGTCAAGTCTATCAGCAACATGTAGAGGGGTACTGCCTTGAATTTCAGGTACATCTCCTGGAAAGTGACGTGAAATTCCTTCCTGAAACCTGCTAGCATGTCTATTTGTTATACTGTCACATCCAGGAACAGTCGGTAGCGATTCATATTAGCGACATTTTTACGACATTCTCTTGCCGGAATTAGGGCCGTGCAACAGCAGAAATGCCAGTTACGACAAAAGCAAAGAGCTGAAGAACCTGGGGTTAAGTCTGAAAGGGATGCTTTCTGGAGAAAGATAAATAACAAATACAACCGTGGCTGATTTTTGCCATTCAGTCTGAGACAGAAATGTACGCCATGGTGTATTTATATTTGTTGTAAGGTTATCATTTACAAGGCTCACGGCAATGGAAGGATGTGGTATCTTGGGCTAATTTACTGGGTCATAGTGACATTCATTGGGCAGTGAGAGGCAGAGTATCTGACAAGCACGTACACAAGGACTACATATATTTTAACTTGGTAAAAGACACCGTTTATTCTTAAGGGTATTCCGGCTTTCGTGTGATAAACGCTTCTAAATGGCATGACCTTGTGCGGCAACCCCTTCGATTCTTGTACATGTCCCACAATAACATGCCTACATTTGCCATGAACATATAGGTCTCACGTACCAGTCCCACAATAACATGCCTACATTACCATGAACATATAGGTCTGACGGACCAGTCCCACAATAACATGCCTACATTACCATGAACATATAGGTCTGACGTACCAGTCCCACAATAACATGCCTACATTACCATGAACATATAGGCCGGACGTATCAGTCCCATAACATATATTCAACATGTAAATATAAGCGAGACGTATTCACGTCACATCTGTCCTTTGGCAAGGTGACTTGTTTGAGGAAGAGGGTCACATTGACCTGCCACACACCCTGTGACGTTACTGACGGAAGAGGGGGAGTAGCGTTATGATGCGTTCAGCTGGGTACATGCAGGACCACATGCCATCGACTCGTGACACATTCCATATATAGTTCAACTTTAAATATCCTGTGAAGAATGAAATACCTGTGTCGCAGTTTACATGCGTTGTGTGAGCTTCAGCATGTCACATGTAATTGTTACGACAGGAACTTCGTTTTGAACTTAACTCAGTGGAGCGAATAGCCCCGTGTATATTTAATGTGGAGCGAAAGAATGTGATGCAACTTGCTTTTGCTATTACATTAGTTCGGGTGAGTGAGTGAGTTTTAGGTTTACCCCGCACTCAGCAATATTCAAGCTATATGGCGGTGGTCTGTAAATAATCGAGTCTGGACCAGACAATTCAGTGATCAAACAGCATCGATCAATTAGTTCCGGAAAGCGGCTTCTGTTTACATGATTGTCGGAATATTCGACAGACAGAATGAGGTGAACAGGTTCGGGATGTTTCCTATCACCTTGCTCCGATGACGTAGCACGCTGCTCATGATTTCGGTCACTGGTTTGCTCAGAAACTAATGCCACACACATATTAGAAATATTTGCACCCATCGCACGGTGTTCCAGGACAGGAACAAACGCGATATCCATTTGTCAGGTCGCAATGAATTCAGGTTCGAATCCCAGCTGAATTCAGATTAAGACCTTTGGTCTGTCGGAAATATACATAGACGTCGATCTACAAACACCCGCATAAATGAGAAAGATATCACCATGGGGGGAAAGTGTCACTGACGTGTATACCATACTTTTGGTTTCGCTTTGATCTCAAAGATGAACGCCCACAAACGTCACAAATAATTCGATATCCACAGATATGTAGTCAAGTTGGTATAACAAACATACAATTATCTTTTTATTTTTTAACGAACTGACTGAACCATGCACGAATCCATGCATACCACGTAGTTGCGACATACTGATAAAGATCAAATGAACTAATCTTTTATTTTAATAAGGACATGAAGTGTAAGGAACTTTTGCGATAAGTGAAATGCATGACTAAGCATTATACTTGCAAGGTATTTAAAACGTATTTTCTCAAAGAATCACATTTAAATAATCGTTTGCATGCTTTTGCCACGTGTAGTTGCTGGTCTTGTTCATACACTTTGCTGTTGGTAAAAAGAATAGCCCCTGAGAAGATGACGCAACTGCTCTAGCCTGTAACGTACTGGCATGCTTCAGTGATTACACTCGCGATATGATCGGCAGACAGCCTGGCGAAAAGGAACATCTCGAGACAGAGTTAAGAGAATGATTATCAGGACTTAAAGTAGGAAGCACCAGGTGTCTGTACACTTAATGACATTTTGGCATTTACATATCATCTTTGGTATGATAATAACAGTGTAAGAAGTGATAAAGGATGTGTTCACCTTTGTTAACTTTATGTCATGGGGGTGTGTTGGGGGTTCGACCAATCAGCGACGAGGGCGCGGCAGGATATGGCAAAGTTAATTATATACATGAAGTAAACACTTGCAATGACGAAGCAAGTCCATAGAGCAGTTTAAGTGTGTATATGTGCGTCACAAAGTAAGATTAGTAGTGAAGACATCCATTGTACGTTTGTTCTGTCATTCAATACATAATATGCCTGGAATTTAATGGGTGATGGTGAAGAAAACTCTCGTTAGGAGAACCTCAAGGGTTGTTTACAAATCACGGATGAAAGGATTGTTGTAAAGACGTCAAAAAGTAAATATTCACGTCAGATGTTTATATACTAGGCACATAAAGAAACTGTGCATACAAAAAATTAAAATCTAAATTTATCAAACCTGTGTAGACACATAAGGATTTAAACTCAGAGATTAGTGACATGTATCCAACATGCATGCACGTGACGTCAGTGGGTTCGTCCTTGAGACGTGCAATATGTTGTTGCACGTGCATTCCAGGGAAAGAGAAACGGAGCAAATGAATGCCACACAATACTGTCACTTTGGAAAGCTCAACCCCTGCCCTTGCGATCGCTAAAAAATTAAACGGCTATTGAAACGCATAGCATGCCAAGGCTCACGTCTGCACAACGTCATGAGCCATTGGGATGGTCCGTGGGGGAATGTCTCAACGACAAGTGGCTGCACATTTCCACTGCCACCGGAACACCATTTCTGCACTGGTGAGACGCTACCAGAGCACAAATGACGTCATCGATCGGCCACGTTCTGGACGTCCACGTGTAACAACGCCAAGACAGGACAGATGGATAAGGGTGACCCATCTTCGCCACGGGTTTCAGACTGTAGTGATGACTGCCCGAACCATCCCAGGACTTCGCCGTATCCACCCCAACACAGTTCGACGACGTTTGCGTCATCACGGGATCAGACCACGACGTCCCGCCACCTGACACAACGTCATCGACAATGTGGTGCCGAAATCATGTCTGCATACCCTTGTTTTGGTGCAGAAATGTTGTTTTTACAGATGAGTCCAGGTTTAACATTTCCCATAGTGATGGACGTCAACGTGCCTATAGACGCGTGGGAGAACGTTATGCACAGGCCTGTGTCTTGGAGAGGAATCGCTTTGGTGGTGGTTCCGTGATGATTTGTGGTGGAATAACAGCACGCCAAAGAACTCCTTTGGTGATTGTTCAGGGCAACTTAACTGGTGTGGGCTACAGGGATCAGATTCTTCGATCTGGGGCAATTCCTTTTCTGCAACGTCGTGGCCCTGGGTTAACAGTCCAACAGGACAATGCCCGCCCTCATACCGCAAGGGTTGCTATGGATTTCTTGCAACACCACAGAGTTGACTTACTGCCTTGGCCTGCAAATTCACCGGATCTCTCCCCGATAGAGCATGTTTGGGATGAGATGGATCGACGTCTACGCCGTCTTCCTCATCCGCCAGATAACGTCCTTGACCTTGCAACAGAACTTGAGAGAATCTGGCGTGACATCCCACAAGCCTTCGATAGGCTCTATGCGTCGTCGATGCACTGCTGTTCTCAATGTCGATGGTGGACATACCCGTTATTGAGCTTGTGACATGGTCGTTTGACCCCTGTCCCGCTTGTGGACTCCTGACGTCATTGTGATTGATTTTTCAATTGAAATTCTCCCGACTTGTCTCATGATCCCTCCATTAAAGTTTATATGTACCTTTGGCATGGTTATCGTACTTATCAACTGGGATAATATTTTGACAATGCACAGTTTCTTTATGTGGCTAGTATCTTTCTCATTGACTATGATTGAAGTGGATAAAAAACAATATGTATGAAAAGCTATGAAGCAAATAATCAACCCTGTCTTAACCCTATGTTTTCGTAATTAATTACCGCTCTCCGTCATAGAATGGTGCTGTTTGGTAAGACACTGTCTTAGACGACTGTCAGTAATGTTTCACCTTTCAGCTCAGCATTAGGGAATTGGTTACGAAGGGTCTTG